TATGCATTAATTTATTGAATCGTTTGTTTACTCCAATAATAACTCATTTGTATCTCTCAATGACTCCACGGTTTTGTCACTAAAATTGTTATATTTTTCAACCAATTATTTATTATTTTATAGAAATGCAAACGATTTTATATATCTTTTTTATTAAACACAATATTTTTGACTTTTTTAATCTATTAGTATTTTTACAACTGTATTACCGTATTTATTTTTTAATAACATGAATCATAAGACTTGTATTCATATTGTATTCATTTATTACAGTATTACCATTCTTTACAATTTTTGATATCATTTTCAGATTAATTAAAATTACAATAATTGAAAGTCATTTCTCTAATTTATGTCCATTTATTGGTTACGTTTTATATGAATGACTCGCTGTTTGTAAACATATGAACACGTGTTGAAACAGACATTTAATTGTGTTTTTCATAATTTACTTAATAATTGTTGTAATTATAACTCAATTTACGGTAATTAGTGTTCATTAAGACATTACATGACATAATATGTATGTGTAGGTGCCGTCGAGTAGTTGTGGTATGTGTGGGACAGACATGTGTTTGTAATGCAGTGAATGTGTATTTAGTGAGCAATTGATGCCATAAAACGTAATATTGATTACAAATAGTGATTGAATTGAATTGAAATGACATTCAATGCAAACTCATGAATGGTTTGCATATGTTTTGCACATTAATAGCAATGAATGAGTGAATGAAGTGTTAATATGAATGCAGTGTTGAGTAGAAGTGCAGTCATTGTGAAGGCATTGCACCGACAGTACTGTCGGTACAGACACTACGGGACAGACACTCCATTCGTGCGGACACTCGACGGACAGGCGTTCATACGAGACGTGAGGGATAGGGAGGCAATAGGTATACATATAGATGTCATTATACACTATAATAGATACTAAATGTTTGACAAACAGGTGATGACATGGACTGTGAACTGAGTTTATTGGACACCAAATACTGTACACAACAAACACTCGACGCACTGTCCGTACGATTGACTAACGCTAACAACTTTCCTCTGCTTCCCAACCCTCGCATCAAATCAGGTAAACATTTGAGACAATCATTGCAATTGTAATTCAATTCAAACAATCATGAAATGATTGCCTAAAACTTTGTTTTCATGTTTTCATTACCCATTCATTCATATAATACGTGAATCTATTGAGTCAATCAAAGTTTGAAACTTTTATTGCATTTCCATATCATTTGAAACCAATTCTTAAATCAAACACAGTTTGCATTGAAATACAAATTCTATTATAGAATTTAAGATTCATTTTAAAAATTATAACACAAATATCTTGGTAATAAGTTTTTTTTTTAAAACCATTATTTGACTAAAATTATAAAAAACATTGTTATTTTAATAATTATACTGAAAAATATTGAACTAAATTATGTTTAAATACTATTTATTTATTTAATTTTTAAAATAATTATAAGCCTTTTGAGAGTTCATTAGTTGCATAGTTTTCTACTGATGTGAATGAATGCATAAATCGCACGAATTGTATATAATATAAGTTTATATCATTATTAGAGATGTTTTTGTCACAGAATATTCTCCATAATCAGTGTTTACCGTCACTTTCACAACGAGTTTATGTCTATTATGTATAATATGTTCACAACTAATACTCTTATGAATTCATAAACAAAGAAATCATTGAAAAGAAATTATTTGCAAAACTATTTGTATGATTGCGAGGAATGACTGACTACTGAACACACGTTTTGTCTGCAAACCATAATTTATCGATTGTTTGTATGACTTAATTGCAGTTCATATGACACCAAATGCTCACCATTTGAACTATTCTTATATGAGGTCCTTATTCCCAACCATTTTGTCTGTCAATGACTTATTGTCAATGAATTTCATTCACTTTTTAAATCGTTTCTAACGTAATATTATTATGTGTTCATTAATTAAAATTTTAAATTATATCTATTGCACAATCATGGATACCATAGTATCCAAGAATTATTTCTGTATATTAAAAATACTTATCATATTATTGTTTTAATTTATTAAACTATTATTAAACTGCGATGCACTCAAAATTGTCGCAGAATTTAATTTCAAAGAATCTGTTTATATATTCTTATGACAACTCTATTCATACTATTATTCTGTGAACACATCAACACATGACTGACGACTTGATTCCCAAAAATCTCTGCGATTCTCTCACAGAATATTCTGTTAGTGTATTTAAATAACAACTCATTGTTTGATATGTGAATCAAAATACAATGCAATTGTGTGACAGAAAGAAGTGAAAGAGTTTTTTGAGTAAATTTCACGAATTTGTTGGCATTTTATGTAAATGTTGTCGAATACTAAGTACCGGAATATACGGCTAATACTGTAGTTATTCTTG